CCACTCTATTTTGTCTGCCCAAAGTTTTTGGATAATATTTTTTGCAAATAGGATGGTGGGTCCTAAAAGGCCTAGAGGGTCAAAGAGTGCAGCCACATGAGATAGAATGATTCTCTTGGTGACTGTCTTACTTTGAATGATTGGTTTGACGGAATAACAAATGTTGTCCGCTTGTGAATTCCAAGAAACCCCCAGTGCCTTTAGAGCCTGACTGCCGTCAAGCTGGAGATTTTTATTGATATCCTCTGCAGGTAGGTGCTGCAAGAGGCTCATGTCATTGGATGCCCATTGTCGTATTTTGAGACCTGCTTGTTGTAGGCACTCAGTTACTTGGGTTTGAGCATCTCTGGCTGCTTCTTTTGTAGAAAAGCCAGTTAACAAATCGTCTACGTACATGTCCCTTTGTAGAATATGTGATGCAAGTGGATATTGATCAGAGTAATCTCGAGCCAGTTGCTGGAGACTCCTGATTGCTAAGAATGGGGCTGAGGATAGCCCGAAGGTTACTGTATTTAGCTGATAAGTTGTTATTTCATTGTCATCGTCATACCATAAAATTTTCTGGTATTTGCGATCTTCGGGGCGAATGATAAATTGTCTGTACATCTTCTCAATGTCACCCGTTAGAACATATTTGTAGAATCGAAAACGAGTGATCAAAGAGAAGATGTCATCTTGAATTGTCGGGCCTACCATTAAGGCAGAGTTGAGTGATAGCCCTTCTGGAGTGCTGGCTGATCCATCGAACACCACTCGAACTTTGGTGGTCAGACTGGTCTCTTTTATTACCGCATGATGGGGTAAATAAAATCCTTCATTATTATCGTCAATAATCTTCGTCATTTGGCCCAGTTCCAAGTATTCAGAAATTACTGCTCTATATTGTTCCTTCAGCTGGGGGTCCCGGATGAATTTTCGATCCAAAGATTGGAGGCGCTTGCGTGCAATTTCTTTGGTCAAACTCAATTTCTGTGTTGATTCCTTGAATGGAAGGGCAACTACGTATCGGCCCGTCCTATCTCTGGTATAATTGTCCATGAAGTGTTTTTCTGCAGCTTGTTCTTCCGGAGAGATGAATTTTTGCTTAGGAATTTCTTCAAGTCTCCAGAATTTCTCGATATTGAACTGTGTTGTGAGACAGAAGGTCTGTTGAGCAGTATCGGTGCTTGGAATAGAATCGCTGCCTCCCACAATCCAACCCAGCTGAGTTTTTTGGAGATATAAATCAGGAGGAATCACATATTGTCCCACGCAAAGTAAGGCTAATGTTGGTCCTGAACCCAGCAACATATCAATCGCTCCTGGTGAATAGAAGGACGGGTCTGCAAGTCGCAGATTCTTTGGTAATTTCAAGGAATCACGAGGGCAGCCTTCCGATGGAACGAGATCGGATATTTTGGGAATCGTGAGGAAGGTCAACGTTCTTTCATACCTGTTGGTTGTAGACTTGATCGTTGCTGTTACCTGGTGTTTGGTGTACGTGGTGAGTCCATTGATTCCAATCACAGGAATTGAGTAATTCCTTCTCTGCAATTTTAGTCTGTGGGCAAGGTTTTCCGTGATAAAGTTGGTTGTTGAACAAGTGTCCAGGAGAAGTCTCGCCCTGATCGATTGTTTTTTGATGTCGAGCACGTTGACGATGGCTGTGATTAGCATCTGATTGCTAGCTTGATTGTTGACCAATACCACGCTCTTTTCGCCGTCCATTGGTTGTCAACTTTGAGTGTTTGCGTTTTT